TGTGTACATAGGAAAATGCTGATAATGCTGTTCATTCTTGCCAGGTATTGATTTGTTATAAAAATTTCTAAAAAAATGTCAGGCCGATGGGTCAAGATTGTCCCGTCCCCTTGGATAAACTTTTTTTAATTACTTGTCAATACATAATTAGTAATACATCGATAATATTTCTCCCAGCATACAGTGGGAGAATGGGAGATGCCACTTGTGTTGCAGACACACCAAGCTAAATATAATACAATTTAACACACACACACACACAATAAACCTTAGTGTTTCTGGAAACTGTGTCAGAAAGGTATTGATTTCTCCATGAACACTCTGGAGGCTGTAGTGATGTGGATTGCACTGCATCAGATTAAATGGTGTTTCTGGTCAACAGTCGCACCGAAAACTGAATAAATGAAGATATAAACGGCACCGGTACCTAACAAACTGACACTTGAGCGCATAAACCCTGGTTTATAAACACACACCTTGATGGTAGCGTCCTCGGAGGCTGTGACCATGACAGAGAAGACTGGGTGGAATATGACACGCGTGACTGGAGCGCGGTGGCCACTCAGGGCGTATCTCTCTGGGGGGCGGGGGATCCACTCCTTGGGGTCCCTCTTCTGACCCACGGATCCTCCGTGTGTCATCTCCTCTTTCGCCTCGTTCAACTTTGACTCCAACTCCATCACCTGAGGCAGAGTGAGTCGAGGAGCAGAGGGGACAGAGGACTCAGTGATCAGCAAATGCTTGTTCCAATAAAAAATGATTTCTGACAAACTGTTACTACAACACTGCCTGCCCACAACATTAGTCTGCGTCTCACTTATGAACTGTACAGCATATATCAAACATCTTAGGCAGATTTAACACAATCAGCTAGCACACAAACGTTCCTTACCTTCTTCTGTAGTCTGATGACCGAGGTCCATTTCTTTTCCAAAAGCCCTGCATACTTTTTATCTACCTCTTCATTCTATGAATAGAGAAGAGACAGGAACATGTTTCTCTTAGTGAACATGAATGTACACGATTTTCTTTTCACACTTTTATGCAGCTGTCTTTTCTTACCATATCTAACTCTGCCTCTTTCTTGAAGGTGGAATAGGCCTCCTCGTATCCATTGGAACGAAGATAGTCGGCTATAGCCCGGTTTCTAAGAAAGAGTGGAATAAAATAGATTTGAGTGTTTTTGTTGTTATCTCATCACCAATTACAGATTATATCCTCACAGATGCCAGCATAAACCGACTGCCAATCTTAAGTAGTGAGTATTGGTCCAATTTAACTTGATTATAACCAAAAACTGCGCTAAATGAATTACCCGTAAAGTCAAAGTTAAGTTGTCATTTAACAATAATTAGCTCCACCTTAACAGAAATGCTGGTTCCTCCTTAACAGAGAGGAGACCACACCCTGTCTAACAGATGGGAGCAATGGGACTCAAGTTTCACAGTTGCACCTTAAATGTCAGCAAATGTGAGCCAGTGCCACAAGAAAATTAAACCCTTCGGTCAAGAAAACAAAAGATAAAAAGGACCAAATCACTGGGAAACGGTTTGGTGCTGCTATGGAAACCAGAGATTCACCACAGAGAGCACCGAGCACGGAGGACACCAGGACAGGGTAACCAAAAGCACATGGAAACAACCTTAAACACACATATAGACTCGCACACAAACACACAGACGTACCACAAATGAGTGGAACCGTTCTTTTATGAGATGAAGGGTGAATATTTCATGAGTAACGGTGCTAAATTTAGGCTGCAGCTTCGGGCTACTCTGACCGGCTGATAACTGTAACCCTGATTCAACCGGAGCCATCACTGGCAGCAGGATTTCCGCTAAACTGTCCCACTCAAATCAGTTTTTAAACTCTTCAGAACATAAACTGATTTTCCTGACAGGGGTTACACCACAATATGAATCTGCTGTCTTGTCCTTTCTAGACTGCGATGTACTGAACGGCTCACATTAACCGACCATCATTTTGTTGAGATCCTCCTCCTTCCCCCACCCCCTTCACTTCTTTGCTCCGGTTCATGTGGGTTATGAAATATTCACCAAGTAGCTAACAAGTGAAGCACCTTGAAGCTCTCTTCACTTCATCAATGGTTACATATTCATTAACCTCTTCTGGATGACTCCGCTCAAACTGCCTTCTGCCAAGAGAGGATAACGTGACGTGTGCATGTGTGCCTTTTGGTCAAACCTCGAGGTATTGCTAAAAACGTGTGTGCTCATCTACATGTCTGTTGTTGATTGCATGCGTAATGAGCCTGCACATCCGTTTATTTACATCCAGGCACTCACAGTTCATCTCTTTGTCTCTGTGACAGCACCATGGCGGCTGCTGTTCTCTCCCTCTCGGGGAGGTGAGGGTGAGGTGATGTGCTGGGGGGGGGAAGTGTGTGACGGGGAGGAGTCCGATCTCTCGGTGGTGTTTTTCCTTCAGAGACTCGGAGGTGGCAGGGAGGGCGCCACGCACAGGGAGGTGAGCTGGAGATACTGCTGTCAGTCAACGAGGCTCTACGAGGATTCACGGGCCCGAATCTCACTCACTGATCAGACGCGCCCATCACCTGATGAAGAGAGAGAGAGAGAGA